ATTTAAAAAAAGACACCAAATTCTACCACCAGTGTCAAGAAGCCGAGGAATATAATAAAACTTTACCAGATAAAATCAAATATCCTACTTACCAATCCCCAGAAACTTGGCATAGTAAACTAATAAATACTAAGGAAATCACTCAATTATTACAACAAAAAACTGAGGAGTGTCATGCTGGGACTACCGAAGAATTAACTCTGGATAATCTTAATATTCAGGAAGAACCAGAACAAACAGCCCAAATCCAAGTCCCACCTAAATAACCAAGGGGAACCTGCAAACTCTCCTTACCTAATAAGTACTTAATTTATGACTTATTTATTAGACAAAACTAATTCTCCCCTCATATTTTCTCTTCAATAAAACAACAAAAGAAATAGAACATGAAAAAGCATTTGCACTTATTCTGATTAAAAAAGGGGAGTTTAGAAAAGTTAACTGACATAAGCGAAAAAGAATTTTCAGGAAATGAAAGAGAGGAAATTCAGAAAGTTACTCGTAAGAATTTCGAAAAAATTTTTCCTAAACACTATATTCTAATAACCAAAAACTCTGAATACACTACCAGAAAAGGTACAAGAATAGATGACGTAGTTTTTGACGAAAAAAACAAAACCTTTCTCGTTTTTGAATACAAGTCTAAAAAAGATAAAGGACATTTTGAACAAGCCAAAGGTTACTCGGCAACTCTGAGTGAAGGCATAGAACAAGAACGTTTGCTTCGAGAAGTTGAGCGAGTAACCGGCAAAAGGCTTGAATCAAGAAACATTAAATGATCTGAAATGAAACCTGTCTGTGTTAGTCCCGTGTTTGATGAAAGGCAGCATTTATCATCAGAATGAGACAGAATAAAAAATAATGAACTCTACCAGTGAGAGTAATTAAATACAGAGATGAAAGATATAATAAAAAATTTGGAGATATAATGCGTTTTTGAAGCGAAAATGAGATTCTATTTGGAGAACAAAAAAAAGTTAAAGGAGTTGAAAAAAAAAGAAAGAAAATCCACAATAGACGAAAAAACCCAAAGCCAGTTTCTCACGCATCCGAGCGTGGGCGTTATAGAGAAAAAAAAGGATACTAAAAATGTCGAAAGTGAAAAAAGTGATTTAGAAGAGTTTTTAGACAAAAAAGAAACAGATAAAAAAACCAAAGATAAGATACCAAAAATCGATAGACTTATTAAAAAAATTTTCAAAAATACAAAAAAAGGAAAATTAACCCATAGCGGTGCTTATTTTGTTCACTGCGATAACAACGACAAAAAAGATTATTAATCTTGGATGCTGCCCCTGATTTAATAACCTTAGCAGGTTTGCCCAGCAACCGGTTAGAAAAATTAAAAGGCAAACGACAAGGCCAACACAGCATTGCCATTAATAAACAATATCGGCTCTGTTTTATCTGAGGCCAAGACAACAACGCCTACGAGGTGGAAACGGTTGACTATCATGACGAATAATTAAAGTAAATAAAAATATGGAAGTGAAGCAAAAATTAACTCCTATTCATCCGGGAGAAATATTAAAAGACGAATTAGACTATTTGGACATTAGTCAGGCCAAATTAGCTCGAGCCATTAACGTTTCCACTCGCCGCATTAACGAAATTTGTCAAGCCAAACGGGGCATTAGTGCTGATACTGCTTTAAGGTTAGGATTTTATCTGGTAAAGTTTTATTATATTCCTCGGCTTCTTGACACTGGTGGTAGAATTTGGTGTCTTTTTTTAAAT